TTTATTCTGTTGATAAATATCTCGATCGCCGACTTCAACGACACGAGAAACGAATCCATTTCGGTGTCGATTCCGTTCTCCATCTTCTCCTTAGGTTTGCTCACATCGGGACTCATGTTTGCCAATACGTTCACGCGTTTCAAATTCAGTATTGGCTGCGGCTGTGGAGCGCTGGGCGTCGGCCTAATGGCGTCCAAATCTTCCATATTATAATTCAGAGCTTTGTTTTCCCAATAGTCGCGATTCAGATAACGCGAGAGCTCGGGATCCGTCACATCATTGTTTGACAACGATTTCAAAGATGAGTCCAACTTCTTGGCCGAAGAGTTGGACTTCATATTAGACTTGGGAGCGGATCCCTTATAATCAGGATTCCAGGGCACAGACGCCGAACGATTCCTACTCTGCTCTTTAGACTCGGCCTCCGATTGAGACAACGCTAACGCCAACTGAAGCTCTTCCTCCTCTTGAATCTCGCGCTCGCTTTTAGTCGTTTCAGACTTGGGTTTGGCTGTGGAATAGGGCGACGACTCGGCCGACGCGCCGGACACTCCCTTAACGGCCGTATCAGCGGCTGACTTGACGCCCGGTTTATTCAATTTGTCGTAACAGTCATCGCATACGCGAACCTCTTTCTCGATGCCATACTTGGGAATCGTCGACAACTTTGACGAACACTTCTGACAGAAGATCTGTCCGCACGCGCGACAGTGATGTTTGCGCTGAACCATCGAGAACTGAGTGCGACAACGGTTACAGCACTCGCCGTCCGCCCAATCGGGCGCCGAATCGGCGGCAAACATGGCGTCGCTCTCCTTAAGCACCGGAAACTTGTAGCCCTCGATCTTCATTAGGTTTACGGTGTCCTGAACTGCCCGATGGGACGGGTCGTTGCGGAAGGCGTGCGCCCACACCTGAATCAGTTTCAACACTTCGTCCCTTACCTTCGTGTCGGCCGACATCTTCACAATTTCCCTCAACTCTTCCATAAAGGCTTTGCACGTTATCTCCACGTGAAAAGTGGATCCGCAGTTCTTCACACACGACTCCAACACCTGTCCACACAAACAGACAACAAAAATCATTGGTTTAGTTGATTGAGACCAATGACCGCCGAAGAAGGCAGTGATCTATAGTACCTGAAGAGCCATGAGTTCAACGTTAGGGTTGGTTGCGTACAACTTCTTCTTAATGGCGTTTACGGCATATTTGGGCCTAAAATGAAGACACGGTTTAATACATTGGATTCAATGGTAATCGCAATCAATGGTATGACTCAACTGAACGTCGTTTTGTCTGATTGTGTCACAGATCTGGAGGATTGCATTCCAGTCCGGCTCCAGATTAGTCAGACTCGTGGCCCGATCTGTAAGACAACAACACATAGACATTATCATCACAACCAATGGATCCAAACCGCGGATCAGTCCAAACAATTACCCAATAATTTATCAAAATTTCCGGTTTTAAACATTTTTCTTATTTGCGATCAATTTTTGTGTGTTTTTTGTGACAAACAATTGACTCAAACGAGCGTTCAATCAATCACTCAATGCTATAAACAATAGACTTTTGATTACAATATAGTGTTATATGTATTGAAGTGTTGTTTCACTTATTGTCTGATTGTTTGCAATCAGTGTTTAGATTAGAAATGAATGCAAATTATATGCCATTCATTGCATTCAATAATGCATTCAATGACTCATTTTCGCCACCGATTGAAATGTCAATACGAGTTCAACTCATAGACAGCGTGTAATACGTTAGTCACGGTTGGGCTCCAAATATGAGGGCATTATATTGCGGGACATTCCTATTGTTTAACATAAACAGTGGTAGAGATCATATGAAAAGGGGGCCGATATTAACACAATATGCGACACGCTATATGTGTTTGTTATAAATAGTATGTAAATAATGGGCAATATGTGGCTCATGTTGTGTGCCATGAGATGACAGCACATGTGATGCAATGCAATGACAGTGCAGTTGTGTTGTTGTCATACAATTTGAATGCATTTCAAATGGCATTTAAAAATTACTGCATTTTTTGAATGCATTTATAATCGCTTTTTTGATTTGAAAAATAAGTTTTTGATTCATTTGTTTCTCTGTCTCTCCAACTCTTCCCACAACTCATCCATCATTTCACTCATGAGTTGATATCAATTGACACCATCTCTGGCAACACATCAACCCTTTCTTTCTGACACAACAAACGAGTGTTTGATTTGTTTAAACTTTAAACCAAACGATTTGAGTGTTGAGAAGCGCTGAAGAGGTTGTGGTGATCGCGATGTCAGACGCGGATCTCTCGGACACTTCATCCGAAGTTGTCCTCTATATCTACGACATGTCTAAAGGGATGGCCAAAGCGTTTTCGGCGATGTTTTTGGGTATGAATTATCACTCGTTAGAAGTGATGACTCGTGTCCTCCAAACACTGCTAACTAACCTTCTTCTGTGGCAATGATAGGCAAAGAGCTTCCGGGCATTTGGCACACGAGTGTCATCGCCTACGACAGGGAGTACTTCTTCGGCGCCGCTGGCATTGAAAGCTGTAATACGGTATTTAAGACAAGCATTTCTATACTAATTAATGGCATTGTTTTTTGATGCAAACTATTGTTTTGTGTCTTAAAGGGCGGCACAACACTCGGAGAACCGGATCAGATCTACCCGTTGGGCAAATGCCAGTTACCCTACAGTCTCTTCTTGGAGTATCTGTTCTCTATGGGTGACTCGACCTTTGCGTTAGTTATTTGTCACACATTTATTTGATTCACTGGTTTTGCTAATAATATGGTTTGCATTTGATTGCAGTCCCGGCACTTATAACCTGTTTGAACACAATTGCAATAACTTTAGTAATGAATTATCACTATTCCTCACCGGAAGGCCTATTCCTCAAGAAATCATTGATTTACCACAAGAGGTGCTCAATACGTGAGTTTGGATTTATATGTTTGAAAAAACTCATTAAATAAT